GTGCGCGACGGGGTTGTTCTCCCCCCCCCCCCATCGTCACCACCAGACACACAACTACCCCAAAGGCAGGGGAGGCTGACCTGGCCAGAACTGCTGGATTGCTTTCCCTCCACATACCAGATGCGGAGGAATGAAGGAATAGCTCCCATTGCTGCTACGCGCCTGGTTTGGATTCTCCTTTTAACCTTTCTGGTGTTTCTCAGGGGAGGGGAAGGGAAGATCACAATCACAGAGTTGGAAGGGGCACAGAGGCCATCTAGCCCAACCCCCTGCTCAATGCAGAACCGGCACAGACAGGGCCGGCTCTAGGTTTTTCTGCACACTAGGCGAGGCTGCCTTCTGGTGCCCCCCCACTCGGTGCGCCCACCAATCTGCGCCCACCAATGTGTCTTTGTGCTCTGACTTTTAGGGGTTCGAAAGCCCACAATCCCAGTCTCTTTGCTCCTGATCTGGTCACTTAGCACAGTAATATAACCAATAAACATAAAAAGGTGGGGGGTGGCCCGCAATTTACTACCCTGTTTAGGCGAGGGAAGGGAGGGGAGGGGTGGCAGGCCAGGAGGCGCCCCCTCTTAAGGGGCCGCTCTAGGCCGCTGCCTAAAAATTGTCTATGACGAGCCGGCCCTGGGCCCAGAGCATCCCTGACCAGCGTTTGTCCAGCCGCTGCTTCAAGACTGCCAGGGCGGGGGAGCTCACCACCGCCCTCGGCAGCTGATCTCACTGTTGCACAACAGTTACTGCAAACCAGTTTCCCCTCAGATCCAGCTGGTACCTTCCGGCCCTGAATTTAAGCCCATTCTTGTGAGTCCTCTCCTCTGCTGCCGACAGGAACAGCCCCCTGCCCTCCTCTAAGGGTAAAAGGTAAAGGTCCCCTTGCTCGAAAGCCAGTCGAATTCGACTTTAGGGTTGCGGTGCGTTTCAAAGCCGAAGAGCCAGGGCTGTCCAAAGATGTTTCCGTGGTCATGTGGCCGGCATGACTAAACACCAAGGCGCACGGAACGCTGTTACCTTCCCACCGAAGTGGTACCTATTTATCTACTTGCAATTTCTTGCTTTCGAACTGCTAGGTTGGCAGGAGCTGGAACTAGAGACGGGAGCTCACTCCGTCATGTGGCACCCGGGTCTCGAACTGCTGAACTACTGACCTTCCACAGCCTGCAGTTCAGCCTCTTAACCACTTGTATCTTCAGATACTTGAAACAGTAAAAAAGCCCAGCAGCACCTTTAAGACTAACAAAACTTATTGCAGCATAAGCTTTCGAGACACACAGCTCTCTTCGTCAGATTCATCTGACGAAGAGAGCCGTGTTTCTCGAAAGCTTATGCTACAATGAGCGTCTCGAAGGTGCTGCTGGGCTTTTTACTGTGTTGCAGCAACAGACTAACAGGCTAACTCCCCTGGATCGATGGCCAAATACTTCATGAGAGCGATCACATCCCCCCCCCCACCCCTCCTCGTCTCCAGACGAAACAGTCCCAAGAGCTGGCATCTGCGCCTCTCTCCTCTGCCTGTCACCAGCCAGCCCTTCCCCAAGCAGCGAGCAGAGACTCCTCCGTGGATAAACAGCCGGGGAGGAGGGGCCGGGGCCGAGAGGGAAAGCGAAAGTGGAGCGAGGGGGCAGCAGAGCCAGATAAAGACACAACAGGGCAGGGAGGCTTTCCAGGAGGCCACGGCGATGGGCGAGGAGCCGGAGAAACGTCTGCAGCACTTCTATGCCAGCCGCGTCTTCCTCGCTGGGGGCCGGGAGCGGAGAGTGGCGGAGACCTTCTCCGCAGTGGAGAGCCTCGTGGACTCGATCGTGAAATGGGCTTACCAGTCCAGCAGCGGGTTGTACCCCCAGAGCCCCGTCTCCGTGGGCAGCTACAGGGAAGGGCTTCACCTCCAGCCGGAAGGCTCCCCCGCCGGCTTCGACTTCCTCGTCCCGGTACGATTTAACCCGAAGCTGGCCCTCGTCAGTGGGGGCCTCGCCAAGCCGCCGAGCCGCTACGAGCGGAGGCTCCCTACCTACATGTTCCACGACAGGGGGGTGCCCGTGTGCCGCCGGGGCACGAAGATCCTCGTGGATCTGGAGGCTGCCGAAGAGGCCCACGTGGAAGTCCACTGCCATCATAAAAAAGCCTGGCTGGAGGATGACGACCTCGACTTGGAGGAACTGGACGAGTACAAGGTCGGTTTCCCAGATGCTATTTGGGAACTTTTTGCCTGTATAATGTGCTAGCGGCTTCCCAGGTTACAGATATGGAGGTGTGTGTGCACTGGGACAGATGGGGCCCATTCTGGGGCAAGAACATGAGTGCCAGATGCCCAACCATCATAGGTGTGGATTCAGGGGTCATTTCCTGCAGGAGCGCACAGGAGCGGAGCTCCGGCAGTAAGGAGCCCAGGGGGCGGGCACATGCAACAAGCCCCGCCCCCTGCTCCCAGCAGCCCTCAGTTGGGCCACTAGGAGCAATAAACAGCCAGGTAAGTTGCAGAGCTCCCTCCCCAGCGGCCTTCAGGTACAAGCTCTCCCTCCTCTGTGAGGGCAGATCTGTGCATAGCTAGCAATCCAAAACAGTCCAGTGGCACCTTTAAGACCAAATTTTATTTAGGTACAAGCTCTCCCTCCTCGTGAGGACAGATCTCCACGTTCACCCCCCCCCCCCAAAGCTAGCAATCCAAAACAGTCCAGTGGAGCCTGAGCGGTGGGTGTTGCCTTCTGACACACTTCCAGTGATGTCAGGGGGTGTGGCATATGCAAATATGTTATGCTAATGAGTTATGCTAATGAGCTCCTGCACCTCTTTTTCTACGAAATGACCCCTGGGTTTATTGTACATATTTATGTATGTTTTTTTTTGTCAAGCAACGCAGTGCCCCCCCCCCCCCCCAATATGTGTGATTTAGTTTGGTCCTATTGGGTGGCGCTCTTGTTTCAGTTTCTAGTTTTGTATGTTAGCGGAAGTTGTTGGTGTTGTCTCCTTGCAAAGAAAAGCCTGGTGTTCTGAGCCCGCTTGTCTCTGCTGAATGAACCTGAGAGCGGGTGCCTGGGTGAGTGCTCTAACCTGGGAACCGACAGCCAAAGGGAGATATTACAATAGGTGCAGTGAGATAAGCATGCTTTTGTCACATAGTATGAGCTGCGGTGGCTCAAGTGGTTAAGATGCTGGGCTGCAGGCTGTAGAAGGTCAGTAGTTCAGCGGTTCGAGACCCGGGTGCCACATGATGGAGTGAGCTCCCATCTCTAGTTCCAGGCAGTTCGAAAGCAAGAAATTGCAAGTAGATAAATAGGGACCACTTCGGTGGGAAAGTAACAGCGTTCCGTGCGCCTTGGTGTTTAGTCATGCCGGCCACATGACCACGGAAACGTCTTCGGACAGCGCTGGCTCTTCGGCTTTGAAACGGAGATGAGCACCGCAACCCTAGAGTCGGATTCGACTGGCTTTCGAGCAAGGGAACCTTTACCTTTTTTATGATACATAGGGGCAAGCCTGTGTCTTCTTTTGTGCAAGAGATTGCCCTGAAAAAAGCCATCAGGAACTAATCACTTTACAAACTCCTTCATTCGCCAGCTGCTGCCACTCTGCCTACAGCTGATTCAGTTTTTACATATATGCCTAATGTGGTTGAAGTGCAAACTTGAAAAATAGTGAAAAAGTGAGGATAAACCAGGCCTGTATGGTGGGGCTTTTGGAGGCTCCACCTCCTTTCTTAAAGGCACAGCCCCACAAGAAATTCTCCTGCAAATGCTTTTTTCAATCATTTAAAAACATTAAAGGAGTGTGTACTCCTTTAAGCAGAGAGGGGTGCTGTAGTTGACCAGTTCCCTCACTGAGGCAAGGGAGTTGGAGTAGGTGACCTCTAGGATCCCTTCTAACTCTGTGTCAAGAAACTGGTCTCCTTTAAGAGAGTTTTTCTGCCTAAATGTTAGCTTTCTTGCTTACTCCCACCTGCCAGCTTGTTATCAGAATTGTTGCTTAGGCTGGCAGAAGTTATTAACCTGCGGCAGCTGAGAACTGTCATCTAGAGTGGTTGATAGCTTGCAATTTAGAGGTCTATCCTGGTAACAACTTTCTATTGGCTAAATAGTTAAGAACACCTATGTAGAATAGATGGCTTGAGAAGACTCAGAAAGAGAAGAGATTGCCTTGAAGTTCTCTTCAGCTTCCACCCTGCTGCTATGCTCCCAGAGAAGGAATGCCAGTTGAGATGCTAGGGCTATGCACCTGATAGGAAAAGTAATGAGAAAAATAGCCAGCAAGGGTTTTTTTTTGTTTTGCTTTGCATTACTTGCTGAACCGTACACATTCTTTCCCCCATCTATGTGTTGTTTGTCCTTTGTTTTTGTAAATAAAGTTTTATGTGTTTTTATACATATCTGATACACTGTATATGAACTAATGTTTGCAAACGCACCCTTAGCGAGTAGCCAGGGCTACGACTCTCTATGGAGGGTATCAGTGCGTAATGTGTGAAAGGGCCTTTAGAAGACACAGATGCAAATTCCAGGCTACTCTTGCCATTGAGTGAGCCCCCCTTCTGTTCCTCTTTCTGGACAGTGGTATAGGACTCAAACAGATGGATATGGTCTCTCCTCCGAGGCCCCACCACAACAAATGCGCTCACCTGAGCAGGGTCTTCTGCAGTCACCACCCTGCAAATGGGCAAGATCAACAACTGCCCATACATGATCATTCTCTGTAGTCCCCCCCCTCCCCCCGGAATGGCCTGACTAAGGAGCTCAGGAAGACTCCAACACTTTTGGCAGCCAATGTAAAACAGAACTGTTTGGGAGGGCATTTTTATAAAGCACCAGGGATACCTTAGAATGATCCAGGAAGATGTTTCAATGGAGAGAAAATGGGACTGTGGACTATAGTCCTGACATGCAGTATCTATTGCTGTATGTTTTTATCTTGCTCTCACTGTGTTACAATTCCTGCTTCCGTAATGCCAGTCTTGCACTGTTTAACATTTAAACAATTTTTTCAGATTTCTGCAACCCTAGGACTCCTATTACACTGTTTATTAGACGTCCCCTCATCCTATCAGCTGTGATGGGTTTGATTGTGTAATCCGCCTTGAGTCACTGAGGGAAAAAAGGCTGTAGATAAACATAAATAAATATGCCAGAGCCAGTTTGGTGTAGTGGTTGTGTGCGGACTCTAATCTGGGAGAACCGGGTTTGATTCCCCACTCCTCCACTTGCACCTGCTGATGTGACCTTGGGTCAGTCACAAGCTCTGGCACAGCTGTCCTTGAAAAAGAGCAGTTTCCGTCAGAGCTCTCTCAGCCCCACCCACCTCACAGGGTGTCTGTTGTGGAGAGGGGAAGGGAAAGGGCTTTGTAAGCCGCTCTGAGACTCCAAGTGAAGGGCGGGGTATAAATCCAATCTCTTCTTCTTGGGCATCAGTGGGCTGCAGGAGGCCTCCCTCCACACAGTCACGCTGCAAGACATCTAAACTTCCTCCCATAGTTGACTGGGATGCTACAGAATGACCTTGGCTCCCCTGAGAGGCGCCCTCTCCTGGCCAGGGACTGCAGTCACCACAGATGCTCCCTCTGAGCTGTGGAGTCTCGTAAGCAATAATTCTACTTTGTGATCTACTGGCATTGAAGTTGTGAGCAAACAGTTTGGCTACTGTGTGCATTAGTTTGCTCTGGAGCCATCCTTCCTGAGCTAAGACAAAAATATGTGAGCCGGAGGGTAAGAAAGTGTGAGCTAGCTCACACGGATTCAGCTTAGAGGGTACACTGCTCCCCACCCCCACCAAGGTCTGTATGTTGCAGCCTCCTGTTTTAGGAACACTTCCAAACTGTAGTGGTTAGGAGCTCAGACTTTAATCTGGGGAGAACCGGGTTTGATTTCCTAATCCTCCACAGGAAGCGGCTGGGTGACCTTGGATCAGTCACAAGTTCTCTCAGAGCTGTTCTCTCAAGGGCAGTTCTCGAAAAGAGCTCTCTCAGCCGCAACTACCTCACAGGGTGTCTGTTGTGGGGAGAGGAAGGGAAGGGAATTGTAAGCCACTCTGAGACTCTGTGTGAAGCCCGGGGTATAAATCCAGGCTCCTCCTCCTCCTCTTCTAACTCCCCCCCCTTCTCTTTACCAGGAGAGCCTCAAACACCACAACCTGGACCCTGTCCAAACCCTGAAGGACTTCCACCGCTACGTCGAAATTGCTTTGGATCCAGGTACATTCCCCTGCAGAGAAATCCCTTGGCTCACACACCACAGCATATCCTTCTAGAATGGATATTCGAAGGGTAAACTCTGCAATTCCTGTTACCCCTCTCTCCCCGTAGCACAATTCCAGGGAAAGCCCATGCTTACGGATGTTTTTGCTCCAAGTACACCCCGCTCCCCCCCAAGAGATATTCGAATTTCAGCCTTTGTTTGAACAAGGTTCCCAGGCCTTTAGCAGTTAAACTGCAGGCAAAAATTCAACAGCCCTCTACTATTCTGCCTAGAAAAGCTGCACCTGTTGAATTTCCACCCAATGCGGTGGTCTAAAGGCACAAGGAGTCCTGCCAGGAAAAATAGATTGGGGATAAAATCACCAGCAACCAATTCTCCTTTGAACCATTTTCTCATGTTTCTCTCTTTCATGCCTCTTCCAGCGTACTCACACCCTCTGCAAAATGGTAAGTGGAAAGCGATTTTTAAGAGATTTTCCTACCACCACCACTGGGATAAGAAACTATGCTGGGAGGAGGGGCAGAAAGGAACCCCTTAGAGCTGGAGGAGGTCTCCAGGTGCTTGCTTCTCATTTGGGGATTTTTATACAGTCAACATTCAACATCAAACCAGTCTGAGATCTAATACGATGCTGGTTTTCTTTCATTTGCTAGATCCTGTTTTCCAGCGAAGGTTCCGTCCGCCCAAAGTGCCCACCATCACCCCCTGGATGAGACGTGAGTTTTTACTGCCGGTCCCTTCTTAACACAGAAAACATCTTCCACCGAGCAGTTGAGACTCTTCACAACCTGGCAGCAGCCTTCATCTAACAATTAACTGGCCAGTTTTAAAGAGGTATTTTAAATCACATTGGAAGATCTGTGGAAGCAGAAAGATAGGATGGGTCTAGTGTAAGTTGCCCAGGTGGGTACCAGAAAGCTCAGCGCAGGGGTGCCGCACTGCTGGGGGTGGCCTCCACAAAAGATTGTCCAAACGTGTCCCTTGACACAGCAGTAGGTAGGAAGATGGAGCTGTTCAACCTGGTTTTTAGATCCTGAACGATGTCTTCTCTGACAGTTGCGCTGGGCCTGATATGTGGTTACTGTACACGAAGCTGCCTTATAGTGAATCACAGGCTTAGTCCGTCCAGGTCAGTCTCGTGTACTCAGACTGGGAGCAGCTCTCCAGGGTCTCAGGTCTTTTACATTACCAACAAACTGATCCTTAATTGGAGACGCCGGGGATTGAACCTGGGACCTTCTGCATCCCAAGCGGAGGCTCTGCCACTGGAGAGCCATGGCCCCTCCCTTACTACTTTTGGCTGTGCTGCCAGGGCCATCTCCCCCACCCCCCCACATACACAGAAAAGCAGGAGAGGATTGCTTAGAAATACATTCAGTAGATAAGGTCCTTTTGCCGCCCCTCACCGGTGTGACGTTTTGTCCGATTTCCCTGCAGAGGACACCCAGCTAGAGGCCCTGCGTCCAGCCGTCCAGCTGTCCTTCCTCGCAGGGCCCGAGGCTGTGCCCGTGAAGCTGGTGCCAGCCATCCAGGGGGCCCTCAAGCTCTCCAACCAGTGGCTGAGGGAAGACCTGACTCACCTCTCTGACTGGTGGGCTGGGGACCTGGCCAACGAGAAGAGGAGCTTCCTCCGGAAAGTGGCTGTTCTGCAGGAGGTCGGGCCGGACCTGGTAGCCAAGGGTGGATTTTGGAGGTAAGGACAAACAGATCTGTTTGGGAAGATGGACTGGGGAGGGGGTGATGATCAGGAGGGTGACGCTAAAGAAAATCTGGCAGAGAAAACAGAGCCTTGTACAATTTCAGAATTAGGACTTTTTGGCTCTTCATGCTTTTGCTTTTGAAATCTGACTTAAAAGGATTCTTTGAAGAAAAATTTCATTCAGATAAGTTAAGCGATTTTAAATTACCGGACTCATTTCAGGATCCGAAACCCTGCTTGTTGTAAAGCTCCTTCATCTGAGCGCTGCCCGGGGATCCGTGCACTCGTTTCTAGTGCGATGAGAAATCCGGCACC